GGGGGGGGGGAGGAGTGGCGGCGGCGGAAGAAGGTTACCCCTCTCAAGCCTGCGGCAGGCCTCCCGGCCGGGGCGAGGATCCTTGCCCACAATCGAGGCTCGCAGCCCACCCCCCCCCCGCCCCCGGCGGTGGACGCGTAAGTGCGTGTGAAGCACACGCCGCACGTTCCTGAGGGGGTGGGGGTTGGGGAAATGTGAAAATATTAATTCAAGCATCACTCCAGAGCCACACCCGCCCGGAACTGGACATGCACACGGATTGGGCCCCGGGCAGCGGTGGGTGTCGCATGCCGAACTTCTGTGCGCTGGGGCCCCTCCCCGGGGCTTTCGGTGGCACTGAGCCACGGTCGCGGTCGCGGCGTGATTCGAGCGACGCCCATTCTACGCATTGTGCATGTGATGTCGATGATAGCGAATATCCGCCGAATCCCGCTGCCTTTGCAATTGAATCGTCGCAGGCCAGAGACTACACCGAGAAATCCACAACCGGGGGGCGGGGATCCGGCCAGGAAAGGATCCCCAGTGGAGGGCCGACTAGCCCCCGCCTCGGCCCCTCGTCCCTACCCCCCCCCCACCGGGCTGGGCACGCGCGCTGTGGGGACGGCGGTGGGGAAGACCCCGGCGAGGTGGCTGGGCAGACTCCGAGGGCCTAAAGGACACCCGGCGCCACAGCCAATACGCGTGTGTCCCCCGCCTCCGCGGCCGATACGTTGACGGCGAGGGGGGGTGCGCCCGGCGGCAGTGCGTGCGCGCCTTCAGCCCCGCTGCTGTTTTTCTCCTGCTTTACCATGGGGGAGGACCTGACATTCCCCCCCCCCACCCCGGCAAGGGCCCCGCTTCGGTCCAATATGCTCAGTGTTCTCCTTCCCATTGGGGGGGGGGGGGGGGCCTGACACCAGCCGACCCAGCTGCCAACCCCCAACCTCGGCTTCCGGCAGCGAAAGCCCCTTGTGGCGCCAGGGGGAAGATGCGCCGAGGGGCCAGTGACGACGACCTCGACGGACGCCCGGCGTTCGGGGCGGCGGGCTGCCGGGACCTCTGCGGAAAGGTGATCTTGGGCCGGTTGGCCCCTTCACCAGCGCGCCGGTATTGTTGAGATGCCGGGGTCCCGGGCATCAGGATTGCGCACCAGCTTCCTCCCGCCTCCCCCCTCTCCGCCCCGCCCCCACCCCCATTGGCTCCTCTCTCCCCCTCTGCCTCTTTGTGCTCCCCTTGCCCCTCCACTCGGCCCGTGACTGCCCGCACCCGCCACACCATGGAGCTCAACACCCGCCGCATCATCACTGTGCGTGTCTCACTTTTTTTTTCTCCTTCTTTTTCCCTCCCCTTCCGAAACAACTCTCCCAGCACCTCCGGGCAGACCCCTATGTGCGGTCCACATGGCTGACCTGCTCCTCCTTTCTCTGCCCCGCAATCAGGAAACCACCCGCCTGGCCAAGGAGCCCATCGAGGGGATCACGGTCACCCCGCGCGGGGACAACTTCCGCCACTTCGATGTCATCATCGAGGGTCCTCCCCAGACCCCCTACGAGGGTGCGCTCCTCTCCCCTCCTGCTCGCTCCTCCCCCCCCCCCCCGCTCCCCTGTATCCCCGTCCCGCGCGGTTCTCCTTGCTGTACCTGGAATCCTCCCCGATCCTGACCAGACGCCCTGACCATCCGCAGGCGGGCGCTTCCGCCTGGAGCTGTTCCTCCCGGAGAACTACCCCCTCTCCCCGATGAAGATCCTCTTCAGCACCCCCATCTACCACCCGAACATCAACCGCCTGGGCAAGATCTGCCTCGATATCCTGGACTGTGCGTCTCCCATCCCGGCAGTGTCATGCCCACCATTGTGCCGGTCGGCCTGCGCCGGGCGAATCTGACCCAACGATTTCCCGCCCCCCCCCCCCCCCCCCTCCTGCACTCTTCCCCCCTGTGCCCGTCAGCCAAGTGGACTCCTGCCCTGCGCATCAGCAGTGTCCTGCTGTCCATCCAGCAGCTTCTTTCCAGCCCGAACCCCGACGACCCGCTGGACAACACTGTCGCCCAGCACTGGCGCGAGAACCTGGAGGATGCCCACAAGACCGGTGCGCCCGCCAGCATGAGGACGAGACGAAAGGAGGGCGCCTCCGCGCCCTGCCCTTCTCCTCCCGCCCTTTGCTCCCTCACATGCACCGATTCATGCACATGCACACACATACGCGCGTATCCCTTCACAAAACGCACCCCTGCTCACACCCGATAATCCCTGCTTTGGCGTGGGAATCCAGCCCGCGAGTGGACCAACAAGCACGCCCAGGAGTAGTGGCGCCTGTCTTCCCCCACCTCCCTTCACACGCATGCACGCACGCACGTGTGCACATCCACGCAGTCCTCCCTGCCCTCCTTTTGCACCAGAAGCGGGCACTCGGCCCTGGGGAGCCCCTCCTGGTGGAGCAGCTCCCCCTTTCCCCTCTTGGAAGCGTGGAATGCGCCCGTTGGCGGCAGCGCCTGACCTTGAGTTTGCAATGTACATCCCCCCTCTCTTTTCCATGCTTCCTTCTTCCTTTCCTCCCCGTCCCTGGCGCCTCCTCCCGCCCCCCCCCCCCCCTCTATTGCTCTCTGTATCTCCCACCGCGCGTGCGGGGATTTTGGTGTGGACGTGGAAGCAGACAGCTCCTAGTTGATGGTGGTGTGTATTCCTCGTGGAGAGGTGGGGGGGGGGGGGGGGAATGGCGCGCGATGCGAGCCCGTGCCGCCGTTCGCCAGGGAAGAGGTGAGGAAGTGTGACAAGGACCTCGTCCCGTGCGGGCGCGCACACAAACCCACCCGAGGAAGAAGAGCACTGAGGGAGACTCGAAGGGCCGACGCAAGCAAAGAAGCACGCTCTAAAGAAGAGCCGGATGAGGCGGAGCGCGGGATGGATGATGTGTGGCGTTTGCCCGGGTAGCGGGAGCTGGGCGCGTTGCAGAGGGCCGCGAGGGGCCGCACCAGCTTGAGCTCGCCCCCCGGCAGAAGGACAACGCAGGTGCCAATTAGAGAAGGAGATCGAGCAATGACCGAGAGCCAGGATGTGCATGTCTCTCGCTGTTTATCTCTCTCGCGTTCTCTCTCTCTCTCTCTCTCTCCTGTTCCCTCGCCCTGCCCGCTTCTTGACAGCTGCCTACGACGAGAGCCCCACTTCGGCCAGGACATCCAGCAGCTTCTGCCGCTGCTCCTGGGTCAGGGACCGCGCGGCCGGCGGGAGCTCGATGTCAAATTGGGCAATGTGGTCGCCATTGGGCTCGGAGCCGCCCTTCGGGGCCGGCACACCGAGCCCTGGCAGGCGGACGGTCGTGGTGCCCGGCTCCAGGATGGCCAGCGACGGACCGGACAGGGTGTCCACCGTGCGGGCAGTTCCAAGGATGGCCTCCTGCAGGGAGATGGCCCCGGTGGAGATAATGTCCCGGCCCTGGGTCGACCCGGGGAAGGGCTCGCCCACCCGGCGCCAGATGGGGCTCGCCTGGACGCCGATCTGCACCAGCAGGTCGCCGGCCGGCTTGCCAAAGTGCCCGGCCCCGGGGATCTTGATGGTGGCCCCGTCCGACGTGCCGGGAGGGATGACCACGCGCTCCGTCCGCTGGGAAGTGGTCACTCCGCTGCCATCGCAATGCCGACAGGACTGGAAACCCCCGTCCCCAGGCCGAGACCCGGGGCTCGAGACATACCCCATGGACTTGCAGTGGACACAATCCACGGTCGTGGTGAACTTCACGTCCTTGCTGCACCCGAGGACCGCCTCGCGGAAGGTCAGACGTAGGGGCACCCCGAGATCCGCGCCGACCGGGTGCCGGCGGGCCGGCGGCGGTTCCCGAACTGGCGACTGTTGCTGCTGCTGCTGCTGCGGGCCGCGGTTGCGCCGGCGGGTGCGCCCAGGCGGGTCGTAATCCGCCTCGCTCGAGTCGAAGCCCATTCCGCGGAAGAAGTCCCGCAGGTCGTCCGGGTTGTTGACACTGTAGTAGGTTGAACCGTCGGCAGATCGGGCGAACCCGCTGGGTCCACCAAAGGGATTGAACCCGCCACCACCGCCGAAGGGGTTGAACCCGCCGCCGCCGCCACCTCCGCCGAAGCCGCCGAAGCCGCCACCGGGGCTGCCACCGAACTTCTTGAACTCGTCATACTGCTGGCGCTTGCCATCGTCGGTGAGGATCTATCCGTGGCCGGGGGGCGCAGGCACGGCAGATGAGGAGGAGCATGGGGGAGGAGGGAAACGGGCGAGAGAGGGGGAAGCTGTGAGGTCAGTGGCCGGAGTTCGTGTCGTCTTTTCATCGCGGGGGGGGGGGGGACTGTGCAGGGAGAAGGGAGGCGAGGCAGGGTGGCTTGCACGCACGTCGGCCGCCTCACGGAGCTCGTTGTATTTCTCGGCAGCCTTCGGGTCATTGGGGTTCAGATCGGGATGGACCTGCTTGGATTTCTGTGTCCATGACGGGCAACCACCAGGCCGGCGCATTGCATCCAGGAGGGGGGAGGCAGAGGGACGGAGAGAGAGGGAGAGAGAGAGCAAGGTCAGACGGTGGAACCCGCCAAGGGGAGGGCCTTCGGCACGATGGCAAGGGCTTCGGGAGGGGGGGAGGGGGGCCGAGGAGGGGAGCAGCGCACCTTGCGAACTGAACGCTTGATCTCGTCCTTCGAGGCGGAGGACGAGACGCCCACGATCTTGTACAGGTCCTTGTTCATGAGGTTCATCATGTTCGGGTCGAAAGAGTAGTAGCGTCGAGGGGCAGGAGCCGAGGCGCCGGGGGCCGCGGTCGCCGTCGCCGCCATCACCGCGCCGGGCCCCTGGGCAAGGGCGCGCGGGAGCGTGTCACGCGCACCTGGGCTAAGAAGGCCCCGGAAGGAGAAAAGCCGCTGGCCGAGCATCTCAATCCTCGGGGTATAAACTGAGATGGAGGGAGCTAGAGCAGGGGAGGGAGGAGCAAGGAGGGGGAGAGGGGAGAGGGATAGATGGAGAGGGGGCGGGGGGGGGGAGGGGAGGGGAGGGGAGGGCAACAGACGGAGAGGGAGGGAAAGGGACGAGAGGTTGACGACAACTGTCTTCCGAGGATGGCAGCCCAAGTGGGGGAGATCTCATTTCAATGCCACGCCGGGGGGCGCGAGCCGCGGGGGGGCGGGGGGGGGGGGGCCGCGCCCGGAGGAAACGGGGCGGCAGGGGGCGCGGGGGCACATGTGGGTTGGAATCTGGAAGATTGTCAGCCGCGGGCCGTGGACATCGGTCTGCCGCCGCCGCCGCCGCCGCCGCCGCCGCCGCCTGGCCATTTTCCCGGCGCCCACCCTTGGCCGCCGTTTCCATGTGTGCGTCTCTCTCTCTCTCTCTCTCGGGCCCGCGCGCAGCCCCCCGCAGGGACTGGCTGGCTGGTGGGCCGGTCAGGTCGGCTCAGATGTGGGCTGCCAACTAAGAGACGCCGTTGGGTGCCGCGCCACAGGACCAGGCGCCCCGAGGGGGGGGGGGAGCCAGCCTCCCATAATACGGCGTTCTAGCTGACACTCAGATAGCGGCGCAGATTAGTGCCTGCGCTGCACCCTCCGGGGCCAGGGAGAAAAGACCACCCCGCGAGAGCGACGCACAGGCCGCGCAGGCTCTGCGTGGGAGATTGCCGGTCCCGGGGTGTGAGCCGCACACACACACACACACGCACACATGTGAGTCACGCAGTCACGGGGCTGGCCGGCGTCCCGGCGGGGGCCTCGCCCGCGGGGCCCGTGTCCCTCTCGGCCTCGCACATCGCGACCACCGCTCCCGGTTGGGGATGGATGCCTCCGATCGGGCCATTTTGCCTGTCTCTCCGGGCTGGAAGGAGGCACACACGCAGGCAGAAGCGTGCCCGCGTACATGCACGAGAGACAGACAGAGAGAGAGAGAGAGAGAGAGAGAGACAGAGAGACCGAATTGGAGGCAGGACGGCAGCAAGTGCAGCCGGCCCCGAACAAACTAATGTCATTCCTCGGCTCACGGGAAGAATGCTGAATCGAGAATATTCGCGCCAAACGCCGCCAGGTGCCGACTTTCGCGGGCACGAAGATTCCAGAGCCGCCCGCCAACGGGGGAGGACCGACGACCGGTCGCGTGTTTCATGCTCGGTGTTCTGTGACATGCGCGTGACAATGCCTCGGGGGGCGCCGCCCCGCCCCGGGAGGCCCCGGTTGATTCCCCCCGCCCGAGCCTGGTGGGCGCGCGCGCGCGCGCCCGGGCAGGGGGCGGCGAGGGGGAAGGGCCCAGGAGCTTTGAACGCGCATCATCGGGCCTGCGGGGGCAACCGCGTTGTGTGCTGGGGCTGAGCGTGCTCTGGCCTGTCCTCTGTCCCCCCCCCCCCCCCGCGCCCCGCGCCCCGCGTCCCGTCGTAGACTAGACCTTCGGGGCGGGGGGACCGGGTGCGGGCGGCCCCGCACTGGCGGGGCCCGGGGGCCCGGCTGCGGAGGCCCAGCCGGGTGGGAGTCGAGGCAGGAGAGCATATGCAGCCTTGCTTTCGGGGCGGGGGGCGGGGGGCGAAGGCGGAGGCGGAGGCGGGGGCGGGGCCGGGGGAGATGTGGGGTAATGACCCGGGTCCCGGCATACAGCTGGCCTGGTCCCCACAGCCGAGCACACGGAGCGCGCGGGGCCTGGTCGACCTCAAGGCCGGGGGGCGGGGGGGGGGGGGGTTTGTTTTAAATGCCGCCGGGGCCGCGCGCCCCCTCTCCGGGTTCTGGTCCCGAGACGGGGCCCCCGAGCTGGCACGGAGTGGCCCAGCACAGGAGCACTCCGACGCCGGACTTGGGCCGACGCGCCGCCGGGGGAGAGCCCCTTCAGGGGGGAGGGGCGTCCCAATTGGGTGTGCTCTTGCACCTGCGGCGGTAACCGCCCCCCGCCCTCCGCCCCCCCCGACGGTGGGACCCACTGCCGCAGGAGAAGAAGGGAAGATCGCCCCGTCTCAGTTTCCCCCGGGGGGCGGGGGACCGGGGCAGAGACAGCGGACTGCCCACCGCCGCGCCGGGGCCGATCTCAACCGCGCGCCGCTCTTGGGCCAATCTCACACGCACAGGAGCGGTGTGGAATGTCCGCCCCTCCTCATGGACCGGACGCGGGGGGGCAGCGCGCGGAACAGCCTGGTGAATGGCAGCCCGGCCCGACCCCACACTAGGGGATCGGCTCCACCCCCGCGGGAGGGCGCGAGGGCGCCGGCATCGGACCGCCAACAAGCAAAGGCACCGGGACCTTGCCGCCCCCCCCCCCAGTGAGCCGGGAAGGCACGGACCGCGTTTTTTCGGCCGATATCACAACAACTGCCAGCTTTCTCGACGGCCATCTACACCACCTCTCCACACACACACACACACACACCCCTCCTCTCCTTTCGCGCCTCCCTTTCGATTGCACCACCACGCCCTCCGCCCGGTCTCCTGCCACTTCCTCGGGCACTTAGTCGGCGCCTGTGTCTGCATCGGCAGACCTCCCACACACACACACCCCCCCTTCCCCGCCCCCCGGCCCCGCTCCCTTGGCTCCTGTTGGATTGTGTGCTGCCCCTCCGCTCTCGGCTCGACCTCCAGCCCAACCCCCGCTACCCCAGCCAGCGGCAGAGACATTCCTCCGCTCGCGGCCCCGCAAAGAGCAAGCGACGCCGGCTCCGCCCGCCCTCCGCCCTCTCCTGGCTTTTCCGCCTCCTGCGCGCGCGCGCCCCCCCCCCCCCCCCCCCCCATCTCCTCCCTGCCCTGGCATACCATGTCCCACCCAAGCCTGCCACAGGCCAACGCTAGCCAGGCATCGGATGCGGCGGCAGCCGCTGCGGCAGCCACTGCTCGCGGGCGCTCCCTTTCGGAAACCGCGCGACCATCCACGGCCCGGCCCAGTGCCCTGGGCATCGCCATCGGCGGCACCGGGCCCAGCGGCCTGTCGGCCATGCCAGTGTCCTCGGCCTCGTCCATTGGAGCGGGCACCGCGGCGGCCGGGCCGTCGCCCTTCGCACCGGCCCCCTACCACCCAGGAGCCCGGCTGGCGGCCATGGCCGCGGTCCCGGGGTCCGCTACGTCGGCGGCCATTGCGGCCGCCGCTGCCGCCACCACCGCCACCACCACTACCCCGGCCCAAGCTATTCCCTCGCCGCCGTTGTCCTCCTCGCCATATGCCGCGGCTGCCCGTGCGTACGCCCCCTCCCCGAGCTCCTCCTATGGCGCGGCCTCCGGGCCTTGGATGATTCCCCAGGGGTCGGCCGCCTACGCCGACATCGCACCCCTGCCGGGGATCCCGGTGTCCCATTCGCCCTCGCGGGCCTTCGGCCCACGCTCGCTCTATCCCTCGACATCGGCCTCCTCAGCCGGGAGCTCCCCCTACACGGCCTTCCCCATCCACCTGGCCTCATACCAGCCGGGGCCGGTCACCGGGGCCGGCAGTGGCAGTGGCCTGCCCACCGGCCCGGCCCCGGGCTCCAGCGGGTCCTCCGCCGCCCCGCTGTCCTCGTCGTCGGTCTTGTCGCCCTACGCCCCGGGAGCCGGCATTCCCAGCTCCGGCGGCCAGGCATCTCCCTTTTCACGGCTTCCTCCAACAACGCCAGCCAACTCGGCCCCGGGGACCTTCACCAGTGGCTTCTCGGCTCCCTTCATCCAAGCCCCCGAGGCGGCTCCTGGCGGCGGCGGCGGCGGCGGCGGTGGCGGTAGTGGGCCGACGAGCGGCCTCCCAGGGCCTTCGTCCGCCGCTGCTCCCCCGGGCATTCAGCCGGCCATGCCGGCGGCCGTGGCTCCGACAGTGCCCGAAGCAGCTGTGGCCACCCTGGCCATGGATGCCGACCCGGCCGCCCCTGCCTTGCCAGCCTCCTCGTCCACCAGTACCTCCGGAGCTTCGACCGGCGGATCCTCGGATGTCTCCTCCGCCACCCGGCCGCTTGTCTACAATGTCCCCACGCGCGAGCAGGCAGAGGCCGCCTCTTTGGCACAGTCGCTGCTCGATCAGGATTCCCGGGCCGCGGCAGACGCGGAGTCGGCCGCCGAGTCGGCCGCCGCCGGCAGCACGCCCGCCTCCGGGACCCCGGCCACCATGGCCTCCGATGACCATCGGCCACACGCCCACCCCTCGATGGAGCTCAGCTCTCCGCCCTCGGTCAGCCTGAGTCAACCATCGCTCAGCTTCACCCAGGCCATGCATGGGCGCCTGCAAATTGGCCGGTACATCCTCGGCGAAACGCTGGGCGTCGGCTCCTTCGCCAAGGTCAAGGGTGCGCCACTGGGGCCGAAGCCCGGGGAGGGCGAAGGGGCGGGGGGGGGGGGGGGGACTGCTTTTCTGCCCTTCTCTTTTTTTTTCCATCTTCCCCTTGCGTGGGCCCCCTCATCGGCGCGTCTCCCCTCGGCTGACCGCTTTGCCTGGTGCCCCTGACCAGTGGCCACGCATGTGCCCACCGGCGTACGCGTCGGCATCAAGATCCTCAATCGCCGGCGCCTGACACAGGATGACCTGGCGTCGAAGCTACGCCGAGAGATCGGCGCCCTGAGACGCCTGAGACACCCGCATATCATTCGACTGTATGAGGTGATTTACACGGCCACCGAGATCTACATGGTCATGGAGTATGTCAGCGGGGGCGAGCTGTTTGACTTCATCGTCAAAAATGGCAAGGTGCGCCAGCGTCCCATGTGCCTGCCCTCCGCCGTCCTTGTGCCGGCTCCATGCCCGACACAACACACCCCCCCACCGCCGCCGCTGCCACTGCCATCGCCATCCACGCTGACACGTTGCTGCCGGGCTTCACGCGAGCAGCTTTCGGAGGATGACGCGCGCAAGCGCTTCCAGCAAATCATCAGCGCTGTGGACTATTGCCACCGCCACCGGGTGGCCCACCGGGACTTGAAGCCGGAGAATGTGTTGCTCGATTCCGAGGGCAATGTGAAGATCGCGGACTTCGGCCTGAGCAATGTCCTGCAGGATGGCGAGTTCCTGCGCACCAGTTGCGGCTCGCCGAACTACGCCGCGCCCGAAGTCATTTCCGGCAGGTGCGTCTACGGCCGGCCAAATGTGGCCAAACCATGCCACGCGCGCTTTCCGACATGCGGCCCCATGTGCTGGCTCCCACGCATGCTGACCTGCCCTCTCGCCGCCCCTCGCCCCAGCCTCTATGCCGGCACTGAGGTCGATGTTTGGTCCTGCGGGGTGATTTTGTTTGCTCTCCTTTGCGGGGCCCTTCCCTTTGACGATCACTATATCCCGGCTCTCTTCCGGAAAATCAAGCATGGGCGCTTTGTCATCCCGGACCATGTGTCGGCCGGGGCACGGGCCCTCCTCCAGCGCATGCTCTGTGTCAACCCCACCGAGCGAGCCACCATCTCGGATGTCCAGGCCGATCCCTGGTTTCAGGTCGGCCTGGCGGCGTACCTTCGGCCACGGGGTGCTGCCGGCGCGCGGCCGGTGACGGGTGACGTGCCGGGCACCGTGCAGCCCGCCGTTTCGGCCGTGGCCTCGGTGGCCTCCTCGGTGGCCGTGGCGGCCCTGCGCACGGACTCCTTCGCCGAGCGTGTGTCAGCCGGGTCGGACGCCTCGGTTCCCGGGTCGCCAACCCATTCGACCGGTGCCGGCTCTTCCTCCTCACATCCGGCTGTGCCGATCCAGCAATCGGCCCTGTCCAGTGCATTGGCTGGTCAGGTGGACGTCGCGCCCGAGGGCTCGGCCCCGGCAGGGTCCCCGCCGGCCGGGGCCCTGCCCGAGGCCCTGGTCATCCCCTCGCCCTCGCTGGCTGCGTCGGTGGTATCATCGCCACTGGCTGCCTCGGCCACGGGAGCTCCCCTCGGCGGCTCGCCGAGCAGTCCCGCCGCCGGGTTCGGCACCTCGGTGCCAATCTTCGCGCCGGTTACCGTGTCCGAGGTCAGTGCCGGGAGCTTCGCCCCGGCGGTGCCCTTCGGGGCCCTCTCCGCCTCGTTGCCGGTCTACTCGCTGCCGGTGGCGGGGCCCGGCTCGGGCATTCCTCCCCCGACGCACCACGGCGGGCCTGGCTTCACCACGACCACTGGCTTTGCCATTCCCCTGGCCTCGAGTGTGGCAGCCGCACCGGTCACGGGCACGGGCACGGGTGCCGTGCCGTCGTCGGTGTCCTCCTCCAGCACGGAGCAGAGCTCGCTCTCGTTGCGCACGAGTGTCCCCTCGACGCTGTCCTTCAATTTGCACCTGCCCTCGTCCTCGGGGGCTGGCCTGGCCTCGGATGGCGGCGCGGCCCAGGCTGCGCCGACATCCGAGGCAGCCGACATGTCCACCGGCCAGGTCGCGCCGCTGCCGGTGTCCGTGGATCCTTCGGCCGCGCTTGCGGGCGCGGCTGTCGAGGCCGAAGAGGAAGAGGTTCCCTTCTCGGACCGCCGCGTGCTGGACCGACTCTCAGAGGTGCGCCGGCCTGAGGGGGGGCTCTTTTCCTCCTCCAAGCTTTCGTGCATACGCACCCACACACACGCACACACACGCACGCACGCACGCACGCACGCACGCACACGCACACACACGCACACACACGCACACGCACACACACGCACACACACGCACACACACACACACACACACATCTGCCGCCCGCCAGCCCAGCACCGCACCGCATCGCACCGCATCGCATTCCATTTGCTGACTCTCCTCTCTCGGGTCCGCTGGGGGGGACATCTCGCCGTGCACGGCTGCAGACCTTCAAGGTCGATCTGGCCGCCGTTCGCAAGTACCTGGAGGCCGACACCCCGAGTGGACACGACTTGCGCGTGGCCTACAACCTCCTGGCCGATCAGCTTCCCCACTCGGCGGTGTCCTACTCGCCGGTGTACTCGGCCCATTCGCAGGGCTCCTTCGAGAGCGGTCCCTCCACTGGGGCAGCCCCCTCGCGCTCGACGTCCATCACATCGGCCGACAGTGTGACGGCCCGGTCGCCGGTTGCGGCTGGATCGGCCGCTTTGGTGGACTCGGCCATCACGAATGCCCAGCCACGGCCGCCGGTGAGCTCCCCAAGCTCGGTCTCCTCGGCTGGGCCATCCCCCCGTGCTGGGAGTGACCCATCGGCGGCCGTGGCAGCGGCGACACCGGCGGCCGTGGCCGCGGCCGCGGCCTCGGCGCCGGCCACAGCCGTGCCCCATGTGTCCGGCGTGTCGCACTCAACTCGCCAGGCTGCCGCCCTCACCGAGGGCGCCTCCGCAGCCGCCAGCGGCAGCTCTCTCCCGGTGGTGTCGCCAGCCGTGTCGCGCGCCGGATCCGGAACCCTGCCCTCGGGACGCCCCTCGCGGCAGTACATCGACACCGCCTCGTCGGCCGGCACGTCGGCGGTTCCCTCGAGGCAGGCATCTCCCGTGAGCGCCGCTGCCCCGGTGGTGTCCCCCCGGCTGGCATCGAGTGTCGGCTCGGTGGTGACGACATCGGCGGGGGGGACAACGGCCACGACCACGGCGGCCAGCACGCCGAAGTCGGCCACATCGGCGGCCGCCGCCGCGGCCATGGCCTCGGATGCGCGGCTGTCGCGGCCGCCGCTGCCACAAGCCTCGGCGGCGCCGGCCGGCGGCACTGGAGCCCCCCCACGAGCCCGGCCAAACAACAGTCGCCGGCGTTCGCGCTGGCACTTGGGCATTCGGTCGCGTGCCTCGCCGCTGGACATCATGCGCGAGGTGTTCGGCGCGCTGCACTCGCTGTCACTCTTGTCGGCCAGCCGGTCAGCGGGCCCCTCGTCGCCGGTGGATGCTGCCTCGGGCGGCGATCCCCCGGCCGGGGGCCCCGGATCTCCGGGCGGGGTCTCAAGCCCCAAGGTCGAGGGGTTGGAGTGGGCTCTGGTCACCCCGACCAATCCCTTTACCATCCATGTGCGGGCCCTGGCGCCGGTGGTGTCCGACGCCCCGGAGTCGCCGGCCACCAACCACATGGACATGGATCACCACCTCCTGCCTGGGGGTGACAGTCTGTCAGCCGAAACGACCCCTCCCTGCTCGTCGTCGTCCTCCAGCTCGGCGCTGGTGTCCTATGCGTCGGTCGGCGCGGCTGCCGCCGAGGACTCGGCCCCTGCCGGCGGGGCGGCGGAGCCGGAGAGTGGACCCAGCCCTGGTGGCCGGCCGCGGCCGGCGCCGCTGGCCGTGGACTCGGCCCTGCCCCGGCCAACGCCTCGGCCGTCCGATGGCGGTGTCGCCCCCTCGCCGCGCCGCCATGTGACCATTCGCTTGCAGCTGTACCGGGTTGATGACCCGCCATCATCCTCGGTGCTCGGGGCGTCGACGTCGAATCCCGGAGCCGGGCCCGGCAGCTCGGCGTCGGGGCTCACCTCGGCCCGAAACAATTACCTCTTGGACTTTACGCACATCCCCTCGGAGCCAGAGGCTGGCCTCTGTGTGTTCGACTTCTTCTGGCTCTGTGGCCGGCTCATCACCCAGCTGGCGATGAGTGGCTAACGAGCTGTCCCCCTCCCTTGCCTTTCCCCCTCTTGCCTTATCCGCGGGCCGTCTGCCGGTGTGGCTGCCCAGTTGTGTCGCCTGGCATTCTGCC